GATTGGTCTCGCTAAATTTATCCCCCTGATTCGCTATAAACGCCCGTACGTACACACGCCAATATACATATATTTAGGAAGATAAGTGTATGTTGCATATATATATATATATATATATATATATATATATATATATATATATATATATATATATATATATAATATATATATATATATATATATATATATATATATATATATATATATATATGTAAATTTGTGTATTTAAGTAGCAATCCTTCTTTCATTGAATACGACAGACAATGTGCTTTGATTTAGTTTTTATACAATTTCTCATAAGATAGAATTTTTTTTCCTTTTAGGATGATAAATTATATAAAAACTACCGATTGTTTTTTTTTTTTGAAGGTTGAAATATATTAGCTGTTAACAAGAAATAGTTTGTTTTATGTAAGTATTTATATAATGTTTTAATTTTCAAAACACGGTCAAGATATTGTGGCCATGTTCATAGTTGACATTATTGAGTGTTGTTTGTTTTGTTTTTATTAATAAGGCTTCCATTATTTTTAGCTGCTTTCTGTATGTCGATAATGCTATTATATTTGTGTTGTCAACAAGTATGTTACGACTAGTGTCCGGTAGGTTTCCCCATGAATATTTAAATGAGACCTAATTGAACTATGGTCAGAAGGGTGTAGTGTGAGTCTTCGTGTCAAATATAGTCAAACTTATATATATATATATATATATATATATATATATGTGTGTGTGTGTGTGTATGTGTATGTATATTTTCTCTTTTATCAATTCTTATATCTATGCGTATACAAGAAAACGCATATCAGTGCGCATTCATGTTTATGTTCAATGGCATCATAATCAAACATCTTTGGCAGGACAAATTCCTCTTCATATTGTTCTATGTCAACCATGACTATTCTATACTCTGGTCTGGCATGTCTTACAGTCATCTTAACGTCTTTTGCCGGGTCCTTTTCTGCTGCATTTCCCATCCACTTGCATTCGATGAAAAAAAAAATAAGGCACCCCAGAAATATTTAAACTGTCAGATGGATACGAGTGCTCCCTCTGATTAATGATTAAAAAATGGCTTCCAGCGAATGAAGCTTGCAGTTCTATTTCCACCATCGTCGACTGGCGCGACAGAATCACAAACAATTTCTTCTTTATTTGCCGTGTCCTCTCAGGAGGTAGGTGATCATGGCTCTCCACAATTTCCTGTTCTTTGTATTACCGAATTTTGTGTTTTTGTTATTTGTCCTAAATCTTGTCGCGCCATTCATTTACTCAAGCTCTCTAGGTAGGTTATGCAATGTCTCCTCTGTCTCTCTTGCCTTCAATCTCTTCGCTGAGTATTGCTTTCAACAAGAGTAACAACTAAAATGGTTACAGCATGTATCTCGAACAGAAAAAAACAGAATCAAGATGTTGACGTTGTGCAATCCTTAAAAGCAAAATTTAGAAAGGAAATGCCTATCAATCCAGGAAAGAGCGATAACAGTGAAGTTGAGGAACTTATTTTTCTGAAAATTATTTTAGTAGAAAGATACTAAAATGTCAATCGACAGAAACACTGATTGTTTGGTCAATAAATGTCAAATGTTTCCTTATAAGGAAATAGTTAATAGAACTATTATCATTAGAAATAAGGACAGCAGATACTACACTTTTATATCATCCTGCTGATTGTGTGTTTGGTTGATTTATTTTTCCTGCTTATCAATATTTTCTTCATTATTTAAACCAGCAACTTATTGTTGATTAATATGGAATTAACAATTTTTTGGAGAGACCAAGTCATTCAAGTATATGTTGCAATGGCTTCTCGCTCAATGAATGTCGAATGTTTCCTTATAAGGAAATGGCTAATACTACCATTGTTATTAGAGATGTGGAGACAGTACACTTTGGTCCGGCCCGATAGCCAGAGAGTGACGAAAAGCGTAACTTGAGTAGCACTGGCAGCTCAGTCAATGGCTGATCTCATTATGCATCTAGTGCGCATACTTAGAAGATCCTTTTTTTCCATCAGGGAAATCAATTTTGACCCAAAGTGTGCCTCTACCAATTCAGCCATGGGGCCAAACGTTGTTTACGTTTCGTGTACGAAACTGAGGCTAACAAATATAGACTTGTAGATGTCTCAGTTAATAGATTTATTCAAAACTTGCCGTGTAGAGGGAAGCTTTGGGTTAAGAAGTGATTTCCCTGATGAAAAAGGGAAGCTGTTACAGTTCATGCCTGAGGCACAGATTTAAATAGGACTTATGAGATTAGGATGGTTCTTATTAAGGTCACTATTTGATAAAATTAAAAACAGAGATCGCAACACAAAAATGTGTGCCTACTAAAAACAATGTTTATTGTAATAAGAACTATATATATATATATATATCTATATATATCTATATCTATCTATCTATCTATATCTATATCTATATATATATATATATATATATATATATATATATATATATATATATATATATAGATATTGTGTATATTTAGGCAGCAATTTTTCATTAATGAATGTTTCATTAAATAATATAGACAAGTTTAGTCTATTTTATGTAAGTTCCTTTCATATTGTCTGATAAGCTTAATAACATTTTCATTGAAAGACGAAAGGAAATCACCATATTGATACATGTTTAAATCCAATCTAAGCTTTCGGCTTACATAAGCCATTATCAAACTTTTCAATATATCAACCAATATACGGAACAATAATGATAGTCTTTTTTTGTTTCATTAAAAATTTCAAAGCAACGACTAACTCGTGTATACGAGACGCGGAAGCGAAAATCGCATCGCAGATCGAGACGTCACACATGACCACGCGAGAGTGAAAACAACAAGTATTAAACCAATGGCTTCTGTTATTAATTATAGGCATTTAAGAATATTTGTAGAGATTTCGTAGTTTATTTTGTTTCAACTGTTTTATGTATATAGCTTCAAGAATTTTTAGTTTTTGTTAATTTTTTTCATGTTTAAGTATAGTTGTATTTTATTTAATTAAGCATGCATTAATGATATATATATATATATATATATATAAAGAATTGAGCTCTCTTGGCTACTGGCGTTTGTATACATTTCGTATAGAATACGTTAAACTCTGCCATCCTCTACCTTGCGCCCATAGTTTAGGGGTAAGATCTCTGACTGATGCTAAGTCGGTCGAGTTTCGATCTCGGCTTGAAGCAATCGGGCGTCAAGCTACACTAATGAGCTGTCTCTCTTTGGATGATTAGAGTTATATGTCATAAAAATATCGTTTTAAGATATGCTATATTTATGATTTAATGTGCATACACTGTAAATATTGAAGTATACACTGAGGTCAACAAAAAGCGGTGTCTTATGTGCTTTTATCAAGGCAAATGCAAGGATTTTATTTTATAACAATTATTTATATACAAGAGGAAAACTTATTATTTTTTCAAATTTTTTTAGTTAGTAACGCTCATCAATATTCATCAGCCTAGCGAAAACATCCGGCAAAATATGGAGGAAGCGATATCCTAGAAAATTTTCGTCTATACGAAAATGTTTATGGAGTGAAAAACAATTCATTGCCTAAATCGCCATGCAAACAGAGAAAGACTTTTTAACTCTGCGCGCGTTATTGCAATCGTTATAGATGTATGCTGGCTTTCTTTCCATAAAACTGACAAGCTTTCTCAATTTTAGTCCAGGTTTCATCACAATCATGGATCCCGTCGCTATCTCGTTGCAGATGTGTCTCGTTGTAATCTTTTCCTCTTATTCCCATCATCTTTTGAACCAATACAAGCCATTAGGGTGAAATAAGCATTAGCAGAAATTTCAAATCAGTTTCATATCACCCAAATTCGAGTTTTAATTTAGCCACGAACACTGACCAATGATAGCGAGAGGAAATGAACAACTATATAATGTTACACAGAAAAACGTTTCTTCGTCTCTTCGTTTTTTTCCATGTTCCTTTTTCTATTTATAATTTTGGGGCTTTAATATTTACTTTTTCTTTTCCCAGCCTTTCTTCTTTCATTCCTAATGTTCTACATTTATTTTTGGCAGATTATGTATAAACATTTTTCTAATGTTCTTAAATGAACTGTTTTAAATATTCATCTAATAATACAGATGCGAATTTTCATCTTTGATGCAATTTAAGCGTTTCCTCCATATATACTTAATCTTGTGCGTTTTATAAGTAGCTTTGAACTTTTTTTTATTGTATTATTTTATCACAAGAATAGGCGAGCAACAAAATTCTTTTAATATTTATGGCCTTCCATATTATAGACCGAACTGAAGTTAATTGTTTGATAATATTTACGCTTTTCGAAATACTACCTCAATGTTATCTTGCAATTATGTCCGCTTTTGTAAAATTAAATTTTAGTGATTTTGGTATTTACTAAGTTTAACTAATTAAGGTAAAAGGGTCAGATAACATTGTGCTGTGTCAAGCTTTTACCATTTTCAGAATTAACAATTTGAAATGACATGAATATGGTTCTACTGAGGAATTTTGCGTATACCACTGACAGAACATGTGAGCAACGAGGAACGTTTAAGGAAAATGGTAACTACGAAAACAGCTATACTTACAATCCGAAAGAGAGAGTTTATATTGTTTTGGGGTGACATAATGAGGAAAGGTTACCTGGAAAAACCAACATTTACATTACCTATTGAAGAAAAGTAGTAGGAAATAGCGAATAACCTATTTAACCAGTTTTTATGGATATCAAAATAATGACAAAGAGTTAAAAAAGAAACTAAGAGAAATAGCATCGAAGTAGTTGTGGAGGGCCACGATTTCCCATTTCCTGAAGAAATATATTACAAAAATGAATAAAGATAGAAGATTCAAAATCTTGGCTTTTTGCCCAGGCTTGAACGCCGATCACGAGCGCCATGACAATTTCAACTAAGAGACAAACGTGTATACTTATCTTAGTCAGAAACAAGGTCAAAACTGAGGAGCACACTGTGACGTTCAAAATAAACTTATAGTAATAATGAATATTTTCCTTAAAAAGAACTTCTTTCGTTGTCCTTTTTATAAGATGTAATCTTCATGTTCTTTTTCGTCTCGTTCGATATACAGTTTCCTCCATTTTATTCATTATTCTCTTTTATGTTTTGATAACTTTCTATGCTTTTCTCTCTTTTCTTCTTTTATCCTATTTATTTTATCCTCTCTATCACTTAAATCTCTTGTTTTCTTTTCAACTTCTCTCCTTAACATCCTCTCTCTTTTTATTACTACACTTACCCCTGATTATCTTCCCTTCATTAATCTCCGTTTTGCGACTTGTTCTCCCCTCTCTTTCTCTTGAATCATCCGCTCTCTATTTACTCTTCGCTCTTTTCTCCCTCCTATTACTTATTTTGTCCACTCCCTATTCATCTTGTTTCTCTCTTCCAAGCAAAAGAATTCTCTCATTGCATTTCTCTCCCTTCTGCTTCTCACCCTTCTCTGTAGTCACATCGCCATTTTTCGTGCTCGGTCAATCAAGACTGACCTTTGGTCACTGCCAACCACCAGTTGCTTTACGAAAATGGTATATGACTCATCCATCGAGGCTTTCTTTCTTCGAAGGAGGACTTGGGGGCGGTGATAAAAAAAATGCAAAACCCCAACACAAACAAATGAGTGCTTAGGGACGGCCTGCAAATGAGAGGGTGGTAGGGATATAATCAAGAAAGAATATGATTGGTAGATACAAGCGAATAAGAAGTGAAAATTGAGACGCGATAGAGGAAAACGGAACTATGAAGTGAAAAACAAAGAAAATTGAGATAAAAAGAAAAAAATAGGAAAGAAAAAATATAAAATATTAAAAAATAAAAACAATCTTACAAAAAATGCAGAAAAAAAAAGAGACTAAGAAAACATAAAGGAGAAAAATTAAAAGCAAAATCGAAAAATAAAAGAGGAAAGAAAAATGAAAAAGAAACAAAAAACTAAACTCGGAAAAGAAATAAAGCGAAGACAAAGGAATATGAAAACGAGGAAAGAAAAATAAAAAGAAAGAAAGAAATGAAAATGCGAGAAAGAAGAGAAATACAAAAGAAAATTAATGGGAGAAGAGAAACGATAAAGACAGAAAAAGAAAGAAACAAGAGAGAAAAACGAAAAAAAATGTAGATGAAAAAGCGAAAAAGAGACACAAAACCGAAAAGATAAAAAAATAAAGAAGGAAAGAAAAAAAAAAAATAGAAAGACGATGGAAAAGGAAGAAAAAGAAATATGAAAAAGAAACGAAAATCTAAGATAAAATTAAAAATAAAGACAAAGAATGGCGAGAAAAAGAAAAAGAAATGATAAATAGAAAAAAATGGAAAGGAAGAAAATGATGAACAATAAATGAAAAAACAGCAAAAAAGAAAAAATATATAAAAAAAAGAAAAAGCATGGCAAGAAAAAAAAAAAAATGTAAAAAGAAAAATAGGAAGACAAACAAAAAGTAGAAAAACAAATGAAAATGGAATAAATCCGAAAAACATAAAAGGAAAGAAAAAGAAAATATAGATGAAAGAAAGAAAAAAAATTGTAAGTAAAGAAATAGAGAGAAAATGAAAGATAAAAAAGAAAAATATAATAGAAAGACAATAAAAAAGGAAATCAAGAAAGATGAAACGGAACGAAAATCGAAAAGAAAGAAAAAATAGAAGAGAAAGAAAAAGAATGGCGAGAAAAAAGAAAAGAAAAAGAAAAGTGGAAAGACAAATGGAATAAAGTCGAAAAAATAAAATTAAAAGGAAAGAAAATAAAAATATAGAAAAAAGAAAGAAAAAATTGAAAGGAAAAAAAAGAAAAATAAGTAACAGAAAGATAATAAAAATGAAAAACAGGAAAGATGAAACGGAACGAAAATCTTAAAAGAAAGAAAAAATTAAAAAGAATGTAAACGAATGCTAAGCAAAAAGTTAAAAAAAATGAAACAGGAAGAAAAATAAGAAAACAAAGAAAATTGACAAAGAAAGAAAAAAAAATTAAGAAAGAGAAACAAAAGATAAAGGAGAACTAGAAAAACAAATGAAAAAGAAGGAAAAAAGGCTAGAAAAAGAAAGAAAAACGAAAAATAGAAAGATAAATGAGCGGGGAAGAAAAAAAAAGGATGAAAATAAAAATAAAATCGAAAACGAAAAAATGAAAAGAAAGAAAAGGACAGAAAAAAAAGAATGAAAAGTAAAAATACAAACGAAAAAGGAAGAAAAAAGAAGGACGAAAAGTAGAGAAAATAAAAAAAGAAAAATTGACAAGAAAGAAAAAGAAAAGGAAAGAAGAAAAGGAAAGAAAAGAACGAAAAAAGAAGTAAAAGAAAACATAAAAAGGAAAGAAAATCGAAAAAGAAAAAAATGAAAAAGAAAATGAATAAAGTAAAAATAGAAAGAAAAGAACTAAAAGGAAAAGAAAAAAAAGAAAGAAAAACGAAACTCAAATGAACATGTGCATTTATGCATATTAACAAAATGCTGTAAGATAGTATGATTTTTTTAAATCAGCCTTTCACTTCAACTTGGACACCGGCTTTTAGTGGATAATATTTAACATTACCATCGAACCCGAAGTAAAATCTGATATTTTAAAACGAAAAATAAAAATCTAGTAATAACTATCGGTTCCTAAAAACAGTAATAATTATAGTCACACAAAATTATGATATTACAGGTTACCTATAATATTATATACCTGGGACACGCGTAACTGCCGTCATTCAAGTGAAAGTGGGAGTTGTTAGAGATTAGTCGAAAAAGGTGTCTATTGTAAATCTTATCCGCATATATATATATATATATATATATATATATATATATATATATATATATATATATATATATATATATATATCTTATCAGCATATATATATATTTATATATATATATATATATATATATATATATATATATATATATATATATGTGTGTGTGTGTGTGTGTGTGTGTGTGTGTAAAAGATAATCCTAAGGAGTCAGGCAAACTTACCTAAGTTTCACCTAAGCGTATCGTCACGGTAATGCTGGATGAAAATGAAAATTATGGAATAGAATTTAAATTTAATTTAAATTCTGTTTCATAATTTCCCTTTTCAGCCAGCATTTTCTTGACGATCCGTTTAGGTGAAACCTAGGTAGGTTTGCCTGACTCCCTGGGATTATCAAAGGTTTTGCTCTACTTACTGTATTGAGCACTTTACGTAGTTGCCTTTAAATCGTTTGAGATTTTTTCTTTGAACTTGCAGCTTGAACACTGGGCGATTGTTTTCGCATTGGTTAATGTTCTTGGTTCTTTCTTTTTTTAATTCCCTATTTTCCTCGGTCACCGATTTGTTCTATTGCAAGTAGATGTTTTACCACCATTTACGCACACACACACACACATACATACATACATACATACATATATATATATATATCAACATGTTCCGGATTATTTTGTTGACAGTAGCTCTGTCACATTTAATAAGGTCTAAAGGATAATAAGGGTCGTGGAGATGCTTTTTCTGTGTGTGTATATATCTAAATACGTCTGCGTGTTTATATATTATAATCTGATTGTGTATATATTGTCTTTTGCAAGGTGTCATCCTCTCCTGCCTCTGTTTATGCTTCAAATGTATCTACGTTGTCATGAAGTTCAGATCTTAACGTTTATTCCAACTTAATTTCAATAAAAACAAAATAAATAGAATAATATATGTATTTTTTATTTTTCCCTCAGTAATTTTATAATTTTAAACATAATATAGATTAAATTTAAATTTTAAAATGGGTAATTTTTATTTTTTAATTTCAAATTTTATCGTATAATTTAATATTTATTAGAATAAATTCTATTTTAATCTAACCCCAACATTAAAACATTAAATTATTATAACCTTAGTTCGTTGTCAAGTTTTTTGAATTCTCGTATACTTGTATTTTGATTGGTCACTCCAGCTTATGTAACAGTGTTTCCCGTAGTGAGGGGGTGTTTGATTGATTTGAACCTTTTAAAACTCTTTATTCTACATTCAACATCATCACGTGATAAGATAACAGAAATGTTGAAACAAAATGGCTATTTTTGTAGTGATTTTATAACATATTTATGTTATAATTTTCGAATAAATAATTATATTTGCTCTAGTCTGTATTGAGCACTCTTTTAAGAATATTTGTTGGTTATCGGAATTTATTCCGTATATATCTATATATATATATATATATATATATATATATATATATATATATATATATATATATATATATATATATATATATATATATATATATATATATATATATATATATATATATATATATATATATATATATATATATATATATATATATATATATATGTATATGTTTCCTTAATGACATCATTATTCCATACCTACCCATGAATTACAGCATCAAATCCGCCCAAGAATTTCTCCAAATTTTAAAGAGTCAAAACCTAAACTCAGGTATCATAGCGTCACTTGTCGTCGAAAATTTATTCACAAACGTCCTGGTCGATCAAACCACTGACATTATCGTCATTACTGTGTATAGCAATAATTGTATCTCTCCGCCATCCATCAAATCATTTATACTCCAAAAAATACTACATAAGTGCACAACCAAAGCCCATTTTATGGCCATGATAGCAACATTTACACCCAAGCAAATGGTGTTTATATAGGAAATCCGCTTGGCCCGTGTTTCTCCAATTAATACATGTCCTATAAAGAAGATATGATGTTTAAACACGCCTGTAAAACTAAAATATATCTCCGCAAAATAACACTAAACAAACAGATACTCTTAAGACCACATTTGAAAAATCTCTGTCCTTAACTTTACCCACATACTTAGTCAAAAAAATAAACTCCCATTTTTAGACACTCTCGTAGAATATAGTAATAACACTTTTATCACCACATTGTATATAAAACATTACAAGCAGAAACTCTTGCCACCTTAACTTTAAGAGTGAATTTCAACTCAGATACAAAATAGCAGTGTTAAATAACTTCCTAAAAAGAGCACACCAGAATTCATTCTCTCGACTAATCTTCCTTAAAGAACTCAATAATGCAAAACAGAAAGTAGTTAACAATGGCTTCCCTAACCACCTTATAGACAACCAAATTAGTCTATTTCTTTCCAAAGTGAATACCAATGATAGTGAAAAATTAAATAAAAAAAGCTTAATCGCAGTACCTTGCCCGTCGTCTTTAATGAATCGTATAAATGAAGGACTGCTGCCTAAATTCACAATATATATATATATATATATATATATATATATATATATATATATATATATATATATATATATATATATATATATATATATATGTGTGTGTGTGTGCGCGCGTATGTGTAGATGTGTGTGTGTGTACGCGTGCAATGAATAAAGTGTCACCATTTTATATTTTGATTTTCGCGCATGCGCATTGATTTTTATTGATTTTTCAACTGCACATTAGAGAAGGGTCAGTTGGGCACCGTCTGTGAGGAAAAGAGCAACATGACGCAATTCACACAGTCAGACATTTGAGACGGCATGCTGTACTGGTTGGCATTCGCACCGGAAACTACAGTATAAACATTTCGGAGTGCTTCGGTGTCAATCTGAGCACAGTGCAGGGAATTCGGTAAGAGTTGGATGAGTCTAATAGTGATTACGAAGCTGTCAGGTGTGATCACTAGTGATGGCGAAGTTATACCGCCATTCATCTTCCCACAGTGCCTCGGATTCAACATGGAGGCCTACATCAAGTGTCTTGAGGAGGTAGTGCCGTCCTGGTTCAAGAGGGTGGCTGCTGAAAGACCCTATGTCTACCAATAGGACCGGGCGCCATGCCACAGAAGCAGAAGAACCCAATTATGGCTGTCAGATAATTTCTGAGACCACATCACTTCTTGCATCTGGCCAGCTAACTCTCCAGACTGAAATTGATTATTAAGTGTTGGGCACAGTTCCGCGAGAGACTAACAAAACTCCTTGTAACACCAAAGATAAACTTAAGGCAAGAATTATGGCAGCATTTAACAAATTAAACAATGAGATATTCAGAAGATTTGCAGGAAATTCCGAAGTCGCCTGGATGCCGTTCTTGAAGTCAATGGCGATTTTACTGAATAAATTTAGTCTTTCGTATTTAAAGATATTTTTGTTTAATTTTGGTAAATATATCTAGTAAAATTAGATGTCTGTGTTTATTTTCATTTTTACCCAATTCAGATAACAATTTATCCATCACACACACACACACACACACACACACACACACACACACACACACACACACACATATATGTTATAAGTATGTGGGATGTAATTAGTTCGATGTTTAATTTTCTTTATTGTCTTAATAATGTTTTGTTTCGCGATAAAATCATCAGGCACAACTAAAGATCATCGGAACAACGGAAAAATCATGGCGACAAAAATCATGGAGACAACTGAAAACATCTGGAAAATAAAAAGCATCGGAACAATTGAAAAACATCGGAAAAAAAGTGAAAACAATTCGAGGTGAAGTCGTTATGATGGCAACCTTACAACTTTGGTTTATTTAAAATTTCTTTTGAAAAGGCAATTGTTAATCAAATCAAAAATAAATATTTGTGAATAAAATAAATATCTGTGTTTTATCAATGAGGTTTTTACATATGAATTGTTAAAATAAAAAGAAAAGTAAGGCAAGAAAAAATCACCAATATCCAATATATATGAAGAAATATAGTTTGAAGGTGTGCTATATTTATGGGATAAAGTGCTCAATATCAGAGATAGAGCGTATGTAAATATAAATATAAAAGTGAACATTGAAGTCAACACTCAAAGGCGTCTGACGATTGCGTCCAGCAGGAAACAGCCTGTCGCTCCTGAGTGTTGACTTCAGTGTATATATATATATATATATATATATATATATATATATATATATATATATAGTCAACACTTAGAGGCCTCTAAGTGTTGACTTTATGTTCACTTTATATTTACACACGCTCTATCTCTGATATTGAGCACTTTATCCAATAAATATAGCACACCTTAAGACTATATTTTTATATATATATATATATATATATATATATATATATATATATATATATATATATATATATATAATCTGAATTATAATTAATGATAACAGTATTTAGGGTTAAGGAAAATAGAGAATAATAATATTTTTTATTATTTTTTTTATTAATGTTTTTTTTACCAATATCAGTTTTAATATTATTTCCTAATACAGAAAGATTATAAATGTATTTTTATTACATTATATAATTTTGTAATAATCTAAATATTCCAAAATTCGCTTGAGGATGAAACAGAACTAGGTACTTTAATTTAATTTAATTTCTATAATTGAATTGAAGTTTTTAGATTCTGTTTTTGAAACATGAGAAGTCTTATGTAGCGATGGAATCATATTTTTATTGAATTTATCTGTTGTTCATTTCAAGCTGTGACTCACTTTATACTAACCTGGCTGCAAAAAGATCCGAAATAGAAGTTCATCTCCAAGGTTTTGACTCAAATGACTCATCTTCATCGGAGTGAAATAGTAAAGAGAAGGAGAGAAAAATAAAAACATTACATTATTTAAGGGTGATTTTAATGTTACTTTGCAAGAGCGAAGATATATAGACATGCGTTGTTGCTTAACTTTTTAATGGGAAATTTTTAATCGAGGCATCTTTACTTCCTGCGTTTATTAATACTTGATTCTATTACAGATTGCATGTCTACAAAATAATTACTTTATATAGCATATATAAAGACACCACTTTCTCGTATATCTTTGATGAAAGTGTCATACAGCAGCATATTCTACAGAAACGCATGGATTAATACCAGACGGCTACTTGGGAATAGCACAAGTGTACTCAAGAAAACAAATCGAAAACGTTAAAATTTTTAGAAACTATCCATATCAATTCAAAACAACCAATAAAAAATCGCATGTGATTCAAAAAGTGGTAATCTCAAATGGATTTAAATTCTCAAAATGCAAACTACATCACGTTCACACGATTCTACAAACTTTAAAAAACTGGAAATAACATCACATTCACTTGACATCACAAACAGTTAAAACAAAATTTCAAATCATCACAAAGAAGTCACGAAACGGATGTTGAATTGTTTTTAATTTCTTTTATTCTTGATAATGACTGTGGACAGTTTCGGTATATCTTTAACGACAAGAAACGGAAATTACTTCGTCAAGGAAAAATTGTAAACGCACACACATATTCATATTACTTTATTACTTATTTTCAACAAAATTTGTTTATATATATATATATATTTAAATTTATTTATACACACACACACACACGCACGCACACACACACACACACACACACACACACACACACACACACATATATATATATATATATATATATATATATATATATATATATATATAGTAGAGTTAATAAATACGTTGGTATATAATCCAAGAGGATCCTAGTAATATCAAATAATAAAACTGATCCACAAAAGAGGTCAATGTATTTATTATAACAGAGCATATAAATTACACAACAAAATCCAAAATTACTTCATATGAGGGGTGGGGTTGAGATCTATTTCAATCGACGAAAACTGCATCAGTCTTATTCAACCCCTGTGTTGAATAAAACTGACGTAGTATTCGTCAGTTGAAATAGATCTATCCCCCCATATGAGGTAATTTGCGATTTTGATGTGTAATATATATATATATATATATATATATATATATATATGTGTGTGTGTGTGTGTGTGTGTGTGTGTGTGTGTGTGTGTGTGTGTGTGTGTGAATAAAAAATATAAAATTTGTCACTTAGGTGATTGATTCAGTTCATCAGCTTGAAAATTCATCAGACGAAACCTTTTGTGATTGCTCAGTCCACTGTCAGAGATCTCCTTGTTGTTTCTCTTTTTTCGTTATTTTTAATACTAAGTTTGGTTTAATTAATTAATATATGCGCTAGTTGGGCGGTTTTATTTTGATGTTACGCTGATTTATATCTGTCTGTGTTTGTGCGTGTGCGCGCACGCACATCCGTGTGTGTTTGTGCTCATGTTCGTATGTGTCAAATGTTATTTTTTTTAATTTTATTTCTCCTTTTCATCATTTTCTTTTCTTATATTCTCTTCCTCTTTCTTTTTTGTTTTTTTTTTCTCTCTTTCGGTTAGTTTTTTGGCATGTTTGTTAGTGAAATAGCCTCAATGACAGAGATTGATCGCATAGGTACCTACATGTTTAATGTGGTAAACGATCATCAAAACATGTATAACGTGATCTGATGATCACTTCAGGCGTTCAAGATATAAATATTTTCTGAAAATTAGACGCAGTTATAGAAATAAGTTTTGTAATTATATAAGCAAAAGAATTTAAGAATTAATTGAAAATAATTGTAAAAACGTACACGAATAAACAGAGGAATATTTTGCCAAATTTCATAGACATAATCTTCGAGTTGCTTGAAGATTAATAGCTTTCTTACATATTCTTTCTATTCCGGTTCATAATTGCAAAATATCCCCACATCTAAAAGGAGGATTAAACTGTAATGATATTTGAAAATTTTATTCTCATAAAGAAAAGGAACTAAAATTGTGCCATTCAGTTTAACTGAATATAAACAATCTTTTTTTTTCTCTCTCAGTCACTCAATCTATCTATCTATCTATCTATCTATCTATCTATCTATCTATCTATAAATTGGGATCAAATACAGATCAAATATGGATCGGAATCCGACAGAACGAGAAGAGAAAGAACAAATATGAAACGTTTATCAATGTAACATATTTCAGTTTTATTAAGGAATGAGATAAGTTTCATCAAGGAATGAGATACGAAGAAAAAGTTATAAATAAAAATGCCAGAATCTTTTTATTCTTTTCTCCGTATTTCATCTACTGATGAAGCTTTAATTAATGAAACATCTTGGATTCATAAACGTTAAAACTTTAACTGTTCTTTAATCTTTTATCTATCTTTATCTATCTATCTATCTATTCATCTATCTATCTATCTATCCCAGTTTGTTTTATCTATCTATCTATCTATCTATTCATCTATCTATGTTTGTTTCTATCTATCTATCTATCATCTTCTATCTATCATCTAAATCTATTATCTATCTCCTTCACAATTTTTTATCTATTTTTATCATCTATCTATCTATCTATCTATCTTTATCTCCTTCATCTTTATCTATCTATCTATCTATCTATCTATCTATCTATCTATCTATCTATCTATCTATCTATTATTTTGGTCATATAATGCTATATATCTATCTCATTCTATTTTTTTATCTATCTAATTCTATTATTATGACTCATTTTGTTCATATATATCTATATATATATATATATATGTATATATATATATATATATATATATCTATATATATATATATATTAAATGACAATAGGAAAACTGGTAATTGCTTTTTCCAATGTGGACTTTATCAAAGCAAATACGAAAATGAAATTAAATGAACAACGATAGATAAAAACAAATAGAATATACTATATATCTATTTTCATAGTTTTTAACTAATAACGTCATTGTCACGTAGAATATTGTCTATCTATCTTGATGTATTCAAACCATTTTCTTTCGATTTTATGAATCTGTTGTGCATATTTGTTTGTAAGAGCATTAATTTTGTTAAGAAAGGTGAAATAGGGAAAAGCTTAAATTTATTTGGATAATTTTGTGCTCATAATAATCCAGAATAACCTATCCCATCTAAATAATCTTGAAATAGTCAAACACCTCCAAAAACCATTATAGATATACTAAGATCTTCAAACAATAATAGCACTAATATTTTTCAAGCAGGCATTTATAAAATAAATTGCCAAAACTTTATTGGAGAAACAAGTAGAAGTTTGAAAAAACGCATTTATGATTCAAAAAACAACTTAGCTTATAGTCATACATAGAAATAAATACAACCATAATTTTGATTTTGAAAATGCTACACTAAAAAAAAGAAAATAACTCACTCAGAAGGAAAATTCTGGAGAGTGCCGCCATTGAAAATTATCCAAATATTAATTTACGCCCAGGCTTTTTCCCTATTTCACCTTTCTTAACAAAAAATTAATGCTCTACAAACAAATATGCAACAGATTATAAAATCGAAAGAAAAATGGTTGAATACATCAACACAGATATAATGACAATATTCTCCACACGTGACAATCTGACGTTATTTTTCAGTTAAAAACTATGAAAATAGCGTTTCTACATTCCAGTTGCTAGGTACATTCTGTTTTTTTTTTTATTAGTTATGTTGTTCATTTAATTTCATTTTCGTATTTTGCTTTGATAAAGTCCACATTGGACGAAACGCGTCAGCAATTACCAGTTTTCCTATTGTCATTTTTATTCATCTGATTAAATATATAGATAATAGATGGATATATATATATATATATAGATGGATAGTTAGATAGATATCAATTCTTTATTCTATTATTATCTATCTATTCGGATAAATAGATCGGTCGATAGATAGATGTAAAGAGATAGAGAGTGGGGGCGAGAGAGGGAGAGAGAGAGAGAGAGGGAAAGAGAGGGAAAGGACAGTGGATAAATTTGAAAATTCCCATAGATGTGTGTACATGATGTATATGTAAAAATATAAAAGCATCTTCATGTATCTTCTGAATGCGTTTCTTTGCATGTATCACTGTTTGTGTATTCTGTTAGCTCGGTGCAGATCCTCTGAGACCCTTTGCCAAATATTTTATCAGCGGGTTCAGGGATCTTGCCAATTCAATTTTGCCTTGGAGAACTCGATCCACCCATCCCACACTATTCGATCCTAGAATTTAAAGATACCTCTTAGTTCCTCGTGCCTAAATTTGGGACTTTCACCAAAATCGACCAATTTTAACTAAAATTCGCCGGGAAAGAATATCTTCTGATATTGTGCATCCAAAAATTCATTACCTATTTATTTATAAAAGAGAGTAGATCTTTTTTCTCCAAACATATTAAGAATAAAAATTTCTGGTTTTTTGGTTGAATTTAAATTTCGATGACAATTATTATTATTATTATTATTATTATTATTATTATTTCTGCTATTGTCACAATACCTACCAAGACTGCGGGAAGACCTGTCGTGCGAGACAATTTTTCTCTCCGGCATCTATCTTACATATCTATAAGTCTGCCATTCGTCCATGCTTAGAATATTGCTGCCACGTATGGTCCGGTACCTCTGCTATTTACCTGGAGCTCCTTGATAAAATCCAAAGAAGAATCAGTAATATTTCTGGTCTTGATCTGGCATCTCGGCTTTAGTCACTTACTCACCGTCATAAGGTTTTCTTCTCTGTGCCCTTTTTTTTATAAATACTTTCATAGTAAATGTTCGGCTAGGGTCTTCGCTATGGTACCTAAACTTTATGAATTTCAGCGCAGTACTAGATTGGCATCGAGATCTCATGAATTTACAGTTGGAAAAAATGTAAATGCAATGACAATCGCTATCTGCTGTCCTCCTGATTAGTCTCTTTCTGCTCATTACTAATGTTTCTGTTCTTATTTCTTGGTGTGTTCTTATGGCTACATTTCCTGATTTGTTTTTCTAACTCCCAAAACATCACTAGCCTTACATGGACAAAGTTCTTAGTTCTTTTAAAATCCTTGGTTTCTACCTTACATTTCGCAGGGCAAGCCATATCAATTAGTAGTTTTTTTTTCTTTTCGGTTTTTGACAGTTATGTCCGACCTATTTGCTTCAATCCTTCTGTCTGTAAAAATGGTCTAATCTCATGGAATGGTGATGTCTTATATTTTTGTAACCAGTACTGGGTGTTGTTCATATCTGTGTTTGTTAACATTTTTTCCAAAGTGTTTGCATATTGTCCTCTGTAAGTATTGCCTCACTCTATCGTGACGATTTTTATATTCATTTGACGCAAATGCAGAACATCCTGAGATTAGGTGGTCTATGGTTTCCTGATATTTGTCACAGAAGCTGCATTTTGGATCCATACTATTATAAATGATATTAACCTGAAAGTTTCTAGTGAAGAGACTCTGGTCTTGTGTCACAAGAATAAAAAGCCTTCCGTTTCAGCCTTTAATCCACAAGCTCGTAACCGTCGATGAGTGTTAACTTTATCAACATCGGCTTTATTAGCCTCGTTCTGGTTATTGGCTATGTAGAGATTTGTTTGCCAGCGTTGTTTCATCTGTTCAAGAGCTTTATCATTGGCTTTCTTTTTCATAAATTTTGCTGCAACAGTTGGTTCTTGGATTCTGTTTAAGTTTTCTACAGAATCTACTAAATGCAAATCTCGTTTGTATTTCCCACCTTCTTTCATGATTGAATAATTTTTCTTTCTGTTTTCATGTTGTTTGACTAATTGTATCATCCAGTCTTTTGTTGTTTCCATGTATGTTAGTAAGCCAATAGTTGTCTTGTATGGCTATTCTAACTGAATAAGACCCCAACCCCCCAACTTCTTTACGGGGTATGTATAGTCGGTCTGCATCAGTCTTTGGATGATGCATGTTATGCTTAGAAAGAAGATTTCTTGTCTCAGAATCAATTCGTTTGATATTATTTAGAGTCCACTTTAAGATGTTGAAACTATATTGGACCACTAGGATGGTAAAGCTATTAATGGCCATAATTCTATATCTTTCATATTTATGGTGAATTCCTTCACTTTCATTAACAACGAGGTATTTATAAGCTTTTCTAGCTCTAAATCTTTGATTGTTACTGTTGTGGATTCCGGGATGAAATTCGGTCTCAAATGAATAACAAACGCAGGAATGAAATATAGCAAATAGAATGTATTGACGTAATAATACAATTGGTAATACGGTTAGTAGATGCATAAATGCGGTTAGTAGCAATAATAATATATATATAGTCTGGGAAATTCAGTATCGACGTATGACTTCCTTCTGAGTCTACGTGTCTCGCAACTGTGACTCCTACAAAGCGGTTACCTCACACTCTCACTCTCTCACTGTATCACTCCCGGTTATTCACCGGCAGCAGTACAAGTACACACTGGGCGAGTCCACTTGTATGAAAAAGGGGTGTACCCCTTAACAGTTACCCCAGGATCTAAGCTAATAGAGGAGGTTTGTTGTTGTGATCCTCATAAAATTGTAGCTTTAGCACATTTACCCAAACCGAATTCTATCCCAATATAACCAGTGGAACTGTTTTCGGTTCTGAGTGATGTTCATACCAGTTTCTTGCAAATCCCTTCCTATAAAAGTTGCATATTTTCCAATGCAGATATTGGCCCGATCTATTATTCCGTGTTTTATATTTAGTGGGTGCTAACACTCTGCAACCTGATACAAGATGGTCATTTGTTTTATTATTATTATTATTCCCTAATTTATTTTGTATTCATTCCTTTTCTATCTAGTCGGTGTTTGGGATATGAAACCTCAAGTGTCATCCAGATTTCTCTTTAATATTTAGTCTGAATGGTTTAATTCTTTCCTTGGCCATCCAATTTTTCCAAGCATTTTTGCAACAGTGTTTGTGAATATTCCATTTCCTAATGATTTTCTCTTTTAGAAAAGCCATATATTTTCCAGCTTTTTATTTGCCTTTCAATTTCACTCTGTTCCCAATAAGAAAGGCAGACATTCGTTCGATTCTTTGTTTCGTTCTTCGATTATATAGCAACGAGATTTACTACCTTGGACTTAATATGAAACTTTCAGAAAGTCTTTTATTAGAAATCGGTCTATGGGAAGTTCCAGGGTCTGTGAGCCAAGCGACAGCAAGTTTCCTTCTATATTTTTAACTTCTTTCGAGTAAACTTGCCGGTCTCAGTACGCTGCGATTATAGATTAGATCTTTTTAGTCTTCTCGTTATTATATTTGTAATAAAAAAAGAATCTGCAATGTTATTAGTCCTGACCTACCATCCCGGTTTAGATCATTTTCCCACCGCTGTAACGTAGCTTTCCCGTACCTCTTCTATAAATATTTCCATAGTAATTGGTCTGGTGTACTTTACTTGATTTTATGAACTTAAGCGCAGTACTAGATTGGCGGTTAGGTTTCACTATGTAATCGCCAGTTCTATGTTAAAAGTTTATTTTCTCAAGCTTCTCACTTGTGGAACCCTCTTGCGGTTTCTTGCTTTCCAGAAATTTGAAACTTGCTTCAAAAGTTTAAACGCAATTTAATTTATTTAATTTATTGTCGTCTTTCCATAATAAAGTTTTCCTTTTCTTATATTCTCTCACACTGTCTTTACTGATAA